CTGAGATTTTTTTTTTTTTTTTTTTTTTTTTTGAATAAGAAAAGGAGGAACGGCGAGGAAAATAAGGGAGGATGAGAGTGTAAACGAAGGGGCTTGCAATGACGATGGTCGGGCTCGTGAGTACCGTCTTCCACCGAATAGAGCGCGGGGACTGATTATAGCTGTGAAGAGTAACGAGTGCGTGGACGAAGCAAATAATATATTTGTAGTTTCTACACCTATTTATAGCCGCCCCCCCCCAAAAAAAATAAAAAAAATAAAAAAGGTACCTCTACGACCTATGTATATCCACAAAGCATGTCTCTCATGCAAAGAGTCCCCTTTTTTTTTTTCTTTTTTTTTTTTAATAACTTCCCTGTCCTAGTTTGTCTAAACGCATGCAACACGTAAGTAATGCTGGAGAGGGGGGTGGTTCTGCGTAATGCATCTGTCCGCCTCCCTTGTCCTGATTCACGATTCTTTTTAAACGAGTGTCCATCCTGCTAGGAGATGTCGAGGACAAAACTGTTGTTGAAGGCAAAAAACACCATTATCATGATTAATAATAATAATAATAATAAAATAATAAAATAATAATAATAATAATTATTATTACATAGTATTGTAATAATTATCCAGCGGCCTAGCTCAGTTGGCAAGGCACGCAAGTGGCATTCAGGAGGTCTTGGGTTCAATCCCCTTTGGCCTCATGGACCTTCCTGGGTAAGCTTGGCGCCCGCCACCTACCTTCTTCCCCCGAATACAACATACGGTCATTATAGCTGTATGTATTTGGGGTGTCTTGCAGTCTAAATACAGCTATAATGACCGTACGTTGTATTTGGGGGAAGAAGGTAGAGATAGGCCGTTGGTCCCCCCGAGCGGCATTGAGCAGAGACTGCTGATGTTCATAGGGTCGTAAGGGGAGGGGACCACCACCGGAGGGGAGGTAGAGCGACTGGCCCATCGAAGAAGCTTGGTCCTGATGCTACAGGCTGACCCCTGGCTGCTATAGCCCACCTGCTGTAGCAGGCAGGGAGGGTATCACACGTGCTGCTCGTGTGCGCAGGTCCCGCATGTTCCATCGTCGAACACGGCTTTTTTTTTTTTTTTTTTTTTTTTTTT